ATATACCACAGTTCAGGGCTAATCAAGATAATGCAAGGGTTAATAATTCAGGTAATAAAATAATAGAGATATGTAAAAATCTTAAGTTATTCATCTGTAATGGTAGACTCGGACAGGATAAAAATGTAGGTAAAATAACATGTAATGATGTTAGTGTAGTTGACTATGTTATAGCCTCCCCCTTGTGCTTACCTCTGTTTACTGACTTAGCCATTTTAGACTTCTCACCCCTGTATTCAGATGTGCACTGCCCAGTGTCCTTTTCTTTAGCCACCACTGTACTCCAAGAACAAACTGTAGGTATCCAGTCCGAAGTAAATACAGTACACAATACTCATCCCAGACCAAAACGTTATAATATAGATAGAACTAACAGGTTTCTACAACATTTAAATGCTGAAAAGGTAAACATTCTCACTCGGAAAGCACATGTGGCTAGACAAGGCCAAGCTGACCCACATCTGATCAATGACATAACTGAAGAGGCCGGGCACGTGCTGATAGCCTTCGGGACCCGGAGGCAGGGTGTCGGTAAGAAATATAAGATGAACAAACCATGGTTTGGAAAGGAATGTATAAATGCTAGAAAAAGTTTTTACAAAGCAAAACGCCGCTTGAAAAGATTTAATTCTATTTATAACAAACGCCTGTTAAAATATGAATCTAAGGCTTATAAGAAATGTATGGATAAGCATATAAAACAACATAAAGATAACTTAGGTACAATGTTAAGAGAAAAACACAAACACTCTCCAAAAGAGTTTTGGAAAATGTTAAAAGGAGATAAAAAAGATGACAATAGAAGAATTTTACCAGTTTATTAAGTCACTCAATGAGACAACTTCAGAAGACCCGGAAGTGAAGGAATGTACTATGGATACACATTATGACTGTGAAACTTTAAATGGAGATATCACACCTGATGAAGTTATGATAGCAGTAAGAGAACTAAAGAGAAATAAAGCATCCGGTATTGATTTTATAGAAAATGATTATTTTATTGATAGTATTGATTTATTAACCCCTTTGTTAGTTGAACTATTTAACCTGATATTTGAAAAGGGTATACTTCCAGAATTTTGGTTATTGGGTATAATTAAACCGATTTACAAGAAAAAAGGTGACCCACTTGATCCTAACTCGTATAGGCCAATCACTATCCTTAGTTGCTTTGGAAAACTATTCACCAGAAATTTAAACAACCGTTTATCTAAATTCTTAGATAAAAATAATATTCTAACACCTGCCTAAGCAGGATTCAGGAAATCTTTCTCAACTGCTGACAATATATTTGTAATTTATATGCTTATGCAAATTTAAAAAAATAATAAACAAAAATTATACTGCGCTTTCATAGACTTTACTAAAGCTTTTGACACTGTTTGGCGAGTGGGATTGTGGAGGAAAATGCAGACTATTGGCATCAAAGGTAGATTTCTTACGTTAGTTCAAAATAAGTATAAAAATATTAAATCGTTGATACAGTGTGATGATAAAATGTCAGGTTACTTTCCTTGTAATATAGGTGTCAGACAGGGAGAAAACCTATCCCCTCTATTATTCTCAATTTTCATAAATGACGTCGAAATCTTTTTGCTTTCATCTGGGTGTGGAGGAGTTAATCTCAACTATGATCAAGATAAAGACTTAATTGTATGGATCCAATTCATAATTCTATTGTATGCAGATGATGCTGTATTATTTGATGAATCACCAGAAGGTTTACAGAAAGCCTTGGACACTTTTAATGAATATTGTGAAGAGTGGAAATTACATGTAAATATAAATAAAACAAAATTTGTGATTTTCGGTGGTGGCCCATCGAAAAATTCGAAACATAAATTTCACTATTCTGATAAAACTCTAGATATTGTCGACACTTATACGTATTTAGGAATTGTACTTCACAGGAATAGAAAACTAGTATCAAGTCTTAAGTCCCTCAGTGATAATGCTTTGAAAGCAATGTTTTGCCTGATAAAATCAAGAAATTTAAATTTACCTTTGGACTGTGTATTATCAGCTTTTGATACGATGGTATTACCAATATTAACTTATGGTTCAGAAATCTGGGGCTTTGAAAATTTAGAAATTATAGAAAGAATACACCTCAAATTCCTCAGACTTATCACAGGATTAAGAAATTCCTCGTTATATGATATAAGGCGAATTAGGTAGGCTACCATTAAGATAAATAATTTGTAAACGAATGATATCTTTCTGGCACAAATTAACATATCAAACTGGTGTGTATAAACTTTCACAGCTGTTATATCAATATCTGTCAATTAACGGGAACAAGACTATTGCATCAACAAATCCCTGGGTTAGATGTGTTATGAATATATTAGACAGTATTGGATTATCTTATGTATTTAACAATCCGTCAATCTGCACAACAAAGTGGCTAGTGTCAGAAGTAGAGCAAATACTTAAAGATCACTTTTTTCAGAAATGGAGAAGTGACGTTAATTCTAGTTCTAAAGGCTTATACTATAAACATTAAAGGACACTCCGGTTCTCGATAAATATCTTCTATTGCCAAAACGAATAGCAATTCCAATACTACGATTTCGAACCTGTAATCATAATTTACATAATGAGACTGGTCGATGGAAAAATATTCCAAAGGAAAATAGAACTTGTAAATTATGTAATTCCCCATCTATTGCTGATGAATTTCACTACTTATTCAGATGTAATTATTTTAAATTAGAGAGGCGAACATTTCTCTCACCATATTATACTGAATGGCCAAATATTATAAAATTTGTAAAACTCTTATCAACAACAAACACACAGGATCTAAACAAATTATCGAGATTTATTGTAAAAATGTCCATTAGTATTAACAATGCTAGGTAATCACGTTGTTATTAATTGCCATCTTGTCTGCTTTTTGTACATATGCATAATTATTTATTGTAATATGCTCTTGTACCACCTTTTGTGGTTTCTGAGAATAAACTGATTCTGATTCTGACACCGCATCAAATATATTTGTGTACCGATTACATAACTCTTATGGACAGGGTGGGGTGGTAGTTCACCGGACGACACTGTGTATATTGGGCGGCTCCTTTGATATCTCCTCCAAACATACGTTTATTGAATGACCCCATTTAACGATGATACACATCTCGATGAATATATCAAGGCACTAATTCATCTTTCATAAACATTTTTTTGTCTTTGTGCTTAATATATCCACATATCAACGAACATTTGTAAATCATGTATCCACAAAAAAATAAACATTTTCAGGCTAGGTATTTGCCCACATCAACACCTGCATAACTGTTTATTCACGCGTGGTGTGGTAGATCGTAATTGACCGAGAGGAGGTATTGTAGAATCACCTGTAAATAAGGCCGACACTGTAATTAGATACAACGTACTAATGAGAATTATCATAAGAAGGCTGTTGTTTTTTCTGAACTATTACCATTTTCATACCAAAAGTGACAATGCAGTTAAAAGTTGCTTTAGTGTCACAATGTTCACTCACGTTTTCCTCAATCGCATTGAAACATAATTCCTACTGGTCAGTTCGACACCGCATGTAATTAAATAATTATTTCGAGATTTCGTTAGAATGTAAGATATTCAGCCAAACATTATGCAATAAAAGACGAATACTTTTTTTCATTAAAATACGCGCACGCGTACCTGTATATTGCATACCTAGTGTAACGTAATTGCACAGTGTAATGTATCAACGGGACATAAAATGGGAAATGAAATACAAAACTAACTAAAATTTAATGTTGTGGAAAATAACTCCAATGAATTGGAGTACACGCACATGAATTCGTATGATAAACTGTCAAAACGTTTTGAGAGGTAAGGCCGGGTTCATTAAAGATCGCTACAATATGTAAAACAGGTGAAATTTGTAGAACTTCTATAAAGGAAACATCCAACCAAATGCCCTTTTTAAATAGTAATGTAATGATATAATATAAAGTATATTTCACATGATACAATATACTTTGCGAAACTGAAACTGTTGAGCAAAGGAAAATATTCCGCCCATGGGCCAAACTTTCTCGTCCAGAGCGAAATATTTCAATAACGCCGTAAAATAGTTGAATTAAGTTAAAATTTGTTAAATTATGTGACATGAAACTTCTAAGAACACCTTTATGTATATGCGACACTAAAACACAAGTTTTGAGCAAAGGGAAATATTCTCGCCCATCGGCCTGCCCCTAGGCCAAACCTTTTCTCGCCCATGGGCGAAATATTTCAATAACTCTATAAAATAGCTGAATTAAGTAAAATTGAGTTACATTATGTGCCATGAAAATGGTAAGAGCACCTGCTTTGAGTAAAGGAAAATATTCTCGCCCATGGGCAAAACCCTTTTCTCGCCCATGGGCGAAATATTTCAATATCGCCATAAAATCGTTGAATTAAGTTAAAATGAGTTAAATTTTGTGTCATGATACTTGAATGAATACATTAAATGTATTTGCGAAACAAAAACATGAGTTTTAAGTAAAGGAACATATTCTCGCCCATGGGCCTGCCCATGGGCGACATAGTCTAAATATTGAGTTTTTGAACAATTTTTTTCCCATTTTTTCTTCCTTGGTATGTTCCCATGAAAACAACATCTTTAATTTTGTAAATACCTTTAACCAAGACTGGGCAAAGACCGTAGAGTTTCTGGACTTTTGGGTTTCCAGAATTAAAATGGGACGTGTTAATTATTATACCATATTTGAAAAAAATGACTTGCCTTTGCATGTGTTTGTGTACAGGCGGGACCGATGGGGCAGAATACGCTCACCTTTTCGCGAACACCTGGTATCATCACTACTTGATAGACTTGATAAACACATGCTCACGATAGAGTCGGAATCGTACAATTGACTGCTTCTGGCAAAGATTTCTTGTGGTTATGGAAAGGGTTTTGTCGTTTATATTAAATGCATTCATGAAAAGGCTTCGCGGAGAAACACTACTAAAGCACTAACCAGAATGCATACCCATACCTGATTAGATTTTGTCGTCATCTCAATCATTTTACAGCTCATAACCGCCAGTTCACGCCTCGCAATGTTCAGTATCTCCGACAGCTTATTCCTCTGTTGTTTTAACTGGTCGGCTACCTTAGGACCATCATGGATGAAATACCGTTCCATTGTAGCTGTCCCTTGTCTTGTGAGGTTACGAATGGGCATCCTGGTGAAAAAACCGATGACACCCAGTACTGAAAGTGCCACGGCTAGTTTGACCAAAATCTTCTGTTGCGCCATGGCGGGTTTGTAGCTGCAAAGGAATAGGTATCGTTTAGGGTCATTTTCCACAAGACATCGCAATTAAAGTACTTTTTGTGCAGAGTATACTATCTAAGACAGAACGCTTACAAGTAACTACCTCCACAAGGGAACAAATAAAAGCGTGAAGCCAATTCCTGGCGTCCCCGTCGTCATATTGCTATATAATTGTTAAAAGGGGACAAGTAAAACCATACTCACTCAGTAACCAAATGAGCTTAATCTTGTTTTCAAACATTTTCTTATGAAAAGAGCCAGTTTTCACCGTTCCACTGAGATGTTTGCTAAAACTATCTGTGATTGAGTGAGTGAGTTGGGTTTAACGCCGCTTTTAATAGTATTCCAGTTATATCGCGGCGTGACAGCTTAAAGTGGGAGGAAAGCCCGAAGTGATACAGGTCTTAGACGTTTACCACTTCGGTGAAACCCACGAGCACGGTAATGACAAACTTAGAAACATAATCGGGGCGAACCGGGATTCGAACCAACAATCATAGGTTTCTGGCGTGCCCAAGGGACGCAACTCTGCACAGCGAATCGCGGCGCTTTAGACGACTGGGCCACCCGTGCCCCCCAAAACTACCTGTGACAGAAGCATGGAATATATCAAGTGTCGTAACTGCGTTTTGGGGTTAACTGAGCCCTACTACAGTCACCTGTTATTGTCGTTCCGTGTCGTGATAGGCAAGGTAAGCCATGACCTAGCGACTCGCTTGGTCAGAGTGATTGGTTTATCGACTCTTAATCCGAACTGTCTCCATCAGCATTCATGTACCGGCCCTTGTACTCACCATGATAAACATAAAACAGTTAAAAATCACGTTCAGTCCATCTTCAAATACAACTTCTACATCAGCCTATACTCGTCATAGACTGGACGGTGAAATCGATCTGCATCAGTCCTTGTCAAAACCGCGCAATACTATTTGTGCTGAACGTATCTTTTTAAAGGGGGTCTTGTCTAATCTTTCCTTGTCACATGTAACAATTCCTCAGTTTGATTCGTTAAAAGTTTAGATCTGACCATGAACTCGTGTGACGTAATCGGAAAACTACTGAAACCTACGTGCCAGATTGAGCATGCCTCTATTGATCTGCACAGCGAATCGCGGCGCCTTAGACGACTGGGACACGCGTGCCGCCACCGTGCCGCCACCGTGCCGCCACCCCTTCCTTCCCTCCGCTCCCCCCCCCCCCCCCCCCCCCCCCCCCCCCCTCATCCCGTTTGGTTGTTTTGAAACGCCGCACTTGGCGGTCTGTAAATAATCGAGTATGGACCAGACAATCCAGTGATTGACATCATGAGCAACGATCCAATTGGGTTGGTTGGTTGGTTGTTTAACGCCGCACTCAGCAATATTCCAGCTATATGACGGCGGTCTGTAAATAATCGAGTCTGGACCAGACAATATTATGAGCATCGATCTACGCAATTGGGATCGATTACATGCATCAACCAAGTCAGCGAGCCTGACCACCCGATCCTGTTAGTCGCCTCTTACGACAAGCATAGCCGCCTTTTACGGCAAGCATGGGTTGCTGAAGACCTATTCTACCCCGGATCTTCACCGTTCTATCCAATTGAGATACGATGACATGCAATAACCAAGTCAGCGAGCCTGACCACCCGATCTCGTTAGTCGAGGCGACCTCTTACGACAGGCAGAGTCGCCTCTTCCGACAGGCATAGTCGCCTCTTACGCCAGGCATAGTCGCCTCTAACGACAGGCATAGTCGCCTCTTACGACAGGCATAGTCGCCTCTTACGACAGGCAAAGTCGCCTTTATAGGGCAAGCATGGGTTGCTGAAGACCTATTCTACTTCGCATCTTCACGGGTCTCATTAACTATAAACGCTACATGTATCAATCCACTAACCAATATGTCATTGGTAGGCATGTTGTTTGTTGTTTAACACATCACTCGGCAATATTCCAGCAAAATGAAGGCGGTCTGTAAATAATCCAGAGATTGATATCACGAGCATCGATCCACGCAATTGGTATACGATGATATGCATATGTTTTTAGTCGCCTTTTACGGCAAGTATGGGTTGCTAAAGACTTATTCCACCCGGATCTTCACAGGTCCAGTAGATGACATAACATAATAAGCTAACCTCCGCTCAATCGAACAGCCGTTTTCTATCAATTTTGAATTCGTTTTAATTCTTTCAAAAATGTCATACTGAAATATGTCGGGAGAGAAACATTATTTGTAGCTGGATCATCTTCGGCTCGTGGTTTAAAACCCAAAGCGGGACGCAAAAAAACCCATAAAGCCGGAGTGATCCTGCAACAACTTATAAAAAAAAAAATAAATATAAACGCACGAAACCAAATGGTTAGCTTGTTGATAAGTTAATTATATTCTGTCAAAATACAAACGTTTTGATAAACGTGCAAATAAAGAATCTTACCAAGACCCCGTTCAAGCAGCCCGCACAGCGCGCGACACAGCTTCACTGAACACACCGCCTGACGGGCACAACGCACGTGCGAACGAACTCGGCATGCGCAGTCTTCGGACCTCAAAGAAATCGTGTCACATCTGACCCTACTCGAAATTATAACAAAGTTGCGGGAACTTTAATGACAGTTGGATGGATGCAGTCATTTTGCTAACACTCCAATAGTTTGAGTATGGGTACTAAATCGTCCCATAGTTTTCCTTGAAAGGTTCCCCTCCCATAGTGAAACACGAGCGGTCACCCTCCCATAGTATAGCATAGTGCGAAAGCTCATTAAGACCATATTGGTATTTTGTTTTTTCTCTTTATAAAGTCGTAATAACGAGAAAAAAGTCGTACTTACGACTTTTCAAAACTCGTAATTACGAGAATAAAGTCGTAATTACAAGTTTTGAAAGTTTGAAAAGTCGTAATTACGGGTTTTGAAAGTTTAAAAAGTCGTAATTACGAGTTTTGAAAGTTTAAAAAATCGTAATTACGAGAAGAAATGTGCTTATAAAAGGCGGTATAAAAGGATGATTCTTCCACTTCCACATGTAACTGGTTGAGTCACTGTAACGGAAAAAGTTCTGTTCGTTTGCCCATCGTATGGGTTTACAATTGCCATACCTCTCTTTGTTAACTGCAAACTATGGATGTATATAGATGATACTTTATTAATTCATGGTGTTGAAATTCTTCTGTTATCACTCATTATTATATTGATGTATTAAATAATTTAACGAAAAATACATTTGCCTGGTTATGTATTCGATTGGGGATAGAATATGACTCAATATTATCGCGGGCTCTATATTATCGCGCTGTTGGCAAATCTCGTAATCCACACCCTCTGTCGATTGTTTACTTATGCAAATCTAAGCACGATATTTCATCGCTTGATCGAATACTGAAACTCGTTGTAGTATGTCTCGGCTACACGCTATACATTTATTTTTTTATGTTAGTTTCTTGAATGTTTTTGAAGTGGAATTTCCCCTACCTCCATAAAAAAATTATTAGAAAAGAACCCATATGTTTAGACGAAGTCTCTAGACCAAGTCTAGGTCGCATGATCCCAAACAGGAAGTGATGCAAGTCACACATTCAACACGTATCACACCACAAAGTAGACATACCGCGATAAGATAGAGTTGCCCGCCCTTGAGTCGCTTATGACAGGTACTATAAAAAATCAGAAAACTACAAGAAGCCATCAACATCAAAAGACTCCTTTTCTTTATATTACTGGCTTCCCCTTTTCTTTACTGTCCCCGTGAAGATCCGGGGTAGAATAGGCCTTCAGCAACCCATGCTTGCCGTAAAAGGCGACTGACAGGATCGGGTGGTCAGGCTCGCTGACTTGGTTGATGCATGTCATCGATCCCAATTGCGTGGATCGTTGCTCATGATTTCAATCACTGGATTGTCTGGTCCAGACTCGATCATTTACAGACCGCCGTCATATAGCTGGAATATTGCTGAGTGCGGCGTTAAACAACAAAACAACCAACAATTATATTACTGACTTTGCCGGTCAATATCTTTACTACCCTTTTGTGTACATAACAGGCTTCTCCACTCCAGTATAACTACATCTGATATCTACTCTACTGTATAGACATTGCCTCCTACCTGTATATATATACTTGTCAGCTGTAGGGTTATATATACATTTATTTATTATATATGACTATGGTTAGGTGCTCTACCGCCTAACCTTCACTAGCTCTGTTATGCATGACTGTAGAGAGGTGAGAGTGATTTTATATCATTGACCATGTGGATTTATACTCAACACAATAAACCTACTATCTTCAAACCATATATACTGTGGTATACTGTGAGAAGACATAACATGGTATCAGACGTGGGATCTGGATCTTAAAAACCAGGTTAGCAACTACAATAGTCAAAAAGAAGATTTTACTTGATGAACTTGTTAGTGAGCGAAAACCGAAGGTCTAATTGAAGCCCATGTGCTTTTTGGGAAGTGTTGGAAATTTTCATCTGGTGTGATAAAATGGCAAATAACGAAGAGCAACCACAGTTACTTCAGTTGTTACCACAGTCAACATACAGGGTGAATCCACCTGAACAGTTTGACTTTACAAAACCAGAATCTTGGCCAAAATGGTCACGTCGTTGTGAACGATTCAGACAGTCATCTCTTTTGACTAAAGAAGGAGATGAAGTTCAAATCAATTCACTCATTTACCATATGGGGGATGAAGCAGAGGATATCCTGTCATCTCTGAATTTGACAGCTGAAGAAATGAAGTCATTTCAAACAGTGATTGATAAATTTCAGAGACACTTTGTAATTTCTCATAATGTGATATATGAGAGAGCTGATGAAGCAGAGGATATCCTGTCATCTCTGAATTTGACAGCTGAAGAAATGAAGTCATATCAAACAGTGATTGATAAATTTCAGAGACCCTTTGTAATTTCTCATAATGTGATATATGAGAGAGCTGTATTTAACAGACGTATTCAAGAAGATGGTGAGACTGTGAACTCGTTCAATAATGCATTGTACGTTTTAGCTCGTCATTGTGACTACGGTGCACTACACGATGATCTTATAAGGGACAAAATCGTCGTAGGAATCAGAGACAGTGCATTAAGTGCTCAAATACAAGTAGATAATGAACCGACACCAGCCAAAGCTGTACAGGTGGCAAGACAATGAGAAATGATTAAGAATCAACAATCTCAACTTCGTAAGACTGAAACAAGTCCAGGATTGCATCAGCAGATGCATCATCATATGGTCTCGGAGCTGAGTTGAAACAGAAACAATCTGATGGATCATGGAAACCAGTAATCTTTGCACCCAGGTCTCTAAGTGATACAGAGCAAAGACACGCACAGATCGAAAACGAAGCTCTGCCGATTACCTGGGCAACAGAAACGTTCAACGATTATGTGCTTGGAAAACACTTCCAAATATAGATTGACCATAAGCCTCATGTTTCCATACCTGGATCCAAATGTCTCAGTGATCTATCTCCAAGATGGCAACGTTTCATAATGAGGTTAATGCGATATAGTTATTCTGTGTTCCACACACCTGGCAAAAATCTGGCAATTGCAGATACACTATCAAGATCGCCGGTGGATGAAATCCTCCTAGCTGAAGACAAACACTTTGAACTTTGATCTCTATGTTGATCTAAAAGTGTCACAACTACCAGCTTCTGGTGCGAAGGTAACAGAAATAGCCTCAGAAAAAGAGAAAGTGTATGGCAGAATATCCACATTCCTACAGAACAAGTGGCCAGCATACCATTCCCTGTCAACAGAGGAGCAGCTGTACAAAGTGAGACATGATTTGTCTATGGTGAATGATCTGTTGTTAAAAGGCAATAGACTGTTGATACCTCCTACTCTTCGATCACAAATGCTCGAGAAGATTCATGCGGGACATCAAGGAATCCGTAAGTGTCGAGAGAGGACAATGACAGCTGTATGGTGGCCAGGACTGAGTGCAGAAATCAGATCTGCTGTAGAACACTGCAAAATATGTTCAAAGTACAGGAGAAATCCAACTGAACCTCTCCTACCAACACCAATTCCTGGTCGACCTTGGCAGGGAGTAGGTACAGACCTGTTTTAACTGAACAAAGTAATGTACATACCTGTGACTGACTACTTATCAAGGTAGATAGAAGTCATCAAATTGTCTTTTACAACATCAAAGAGTATCATCAACAGTTTGAATTCTGTATATTCTAGACATGGGATACCAGAGGTAGTTATCTCAGATAAAGGACCTCAATATTCTTCACAGGACTTCCGTGAGTTTGCTCAACAGTACAACTTTACTCACATCACATCCAGCCCATTGTATCCAAGGAGCAATGGAGAGGCTGAGCGAGCTGTTCAGTCATGCAAGAATATGTTGCGTAAAGCTGATGATCCATGTCTTCCAATGTTGGACAACACCTGTATCTGGTGGATTATCTCCAAGTGAGCTTCAAATGGGAAGAAAGCTGAGAACAAGCCTACCATGCCATCCTACACAACTACAATCCAAACATGTGGATGTGAAAAGCTTCAAGCAAGCTGAATCTGTGAAAAAACTTATAATGAAAGATCAGTATGATCATCATCATAATGTGCGACCAATGTCTGAGCTCAAACCTGGTGATTGTGTTTGGGTAAATCAGTCTGAGTCAGCATCGATCAAACCTAATTGATGTGGCATCAACGTTGAACAAAGAACAAGAAACATTTTGCGTATGACATATTTAATAGGTCTGTAAGCGTGCGCCATTGCGATCCATCATAAATTAACTACCGCGGTAATAAAGCGTACCATCCTACGATGACATGCATCAACCAAGTCAGCGATCCTGGACAAGACAATCTGGTGATTGACATCATGAGCATCGATCTACACAACTGGGATACGATTACATGCATCAACCAAGTCAGCGAGCCTGAGCGCCCGATCCCGTTAGTCGCCTCTTACGACAAGCATAGTCGCCTTTTACGGTCAGCAAGGGTTGCTGAAGACTTATTCTAACCCCGGGTCTTCACGGTTCGAAGAAGGTGTGAAGAACAACTTTATATATATTTTTGCATAAGAATTGCTTTCAGGACATCAAGCATGTCCAACCAAGCAATACTATTTTCATTAAAAATCGGGGCACCCCTTTCTTTCTCTATCCGACCCCAACCCCGAATATCAAATGTAGCACCCTTAACGTCTGACTTTGTTGTCTTCGGGTAAACAGTTCATGTCTTAGCATTGGCTGCCGGGCACTCTGAATGCGAGCAGTGCATCTGAATGACACGGGGTTTGAAGAGAGGTGTTTGTTGTATTCATATCATTGTCACCGCTATTGTGCCGTTTGCGTACACTTGAATTTGTTTCGGCGGATCATTCTCTGGCCTTGACGTGTTGTCTGGCCCCATATTGTCAGACACTAGTCCCATAGAAAGGCGATACCAATTAAAGCTGTCACTTGTGGTAGTCATTAACATTCAGACTTTGTTTTGGGAGCAAAGTGTATTCAGCTTCCTTATTAACCTATGCTTGTTGTTCGGGACGACCATATGGGTAGGATAGTTGCTCGTAATAATATTCACTGCTTTATCTGGGCTAGACCTGAT